GGCATACATCGATCGATGGAGTATCTCGATTCGTCATCTTCTACTGTAGCGTCGTCGATCGATTACACAGGATGTGTATCGATCGATATGTATCTCTGGATATCGACCTTGTTGTCTGATCTTCATAGTCATCTCGAGAAAACTCTCCTTTAAGCTCCATAAGGGCACTTAAATCATCACTTTACTCCAAAATACTCCTGAACCTGAAAACATACCTAAAAGACTCCAAAACATATATATATATATATATATATATATATATATATATATATTATAAAATCATCTCAATACCATGGTTAAAAGTGGGTCAAAACCATGGTGGATCACGCATCGACCCCAATCCATCCCTTATGAGTTCTCACTAACTCCATAATTAGGTTGTTGGTGCGCCTCGAACCCAATACCTCACCCTTTAACAACTCTCCCACATGACAAGTTGTTACCAGTTGAACTGCATATCAATTGGTGACAGCTTGTCATGTGGGAGAGTTGTTAAAGGGTGAGGTACTGGGTTCGAGGCGCACAACCAACCTAATTATGGAGTTAGTGAGAACTCATAAGGGAGGGGTTGGGATCGATGTGCTGCAGCGCTGTAAGCTTCCACAGGATGGATTGTCACAAAAAAAAATCTATTGGTGACAGCTTATCCTGTGGGAGCGTACTAACAACCTAATTATGAAATTAGTGAGAACTCATAAGGGAGGGGTTGGGGTCAATGCGCTGAATCCTGTGAGTTTCCACGGGATGGGTTGTCACACATAGGCTTCGAACCCATGACCTCACTGTGGGAACCGAAATCCACCTACTGTCAAATAATCGTAAAAAAAAGGAAACTTCGGGAAAACCCTAAGTTTCCAGAGGAACCGGTTATCTGCAGAACCGCACAACGAAGATTAAGATAACAAGAAACTTAGAATTATTAAAATAATAAACGAAAATCGAGAGCAAAGAGGTTCTTATTCCGAATCTGCGTTGAACTGGTACAAAGAGAGTAGCCGAAAACTTAAAAACGAAAAACCCTAGTTGAGACGCAGCTCGCTAACAGAAAAACAAAAATATTCCTAAATGCTAATTTTGGTGGTGAGAGCTCTCAATTTCGTGTGTGTTGCTTCTGCCCTAGACCTCCTATTTATATACTCCTCGCCTTGGTCATTCGGTCTTTCCATTTCGCCCAGATTCGACTATATCGGGAATTTTCCATTTTTCTCGATCCTTTCCTTTTCTTCCGCGGAAATCTTCTATTTTTCTTCAAACCTTCCTTTTATCTTCAAACTTGACTTTTATTTTCCTCCTGCGAGTAAACCGTCAAAACGTTATCAAATCTGCGGGTTAGATTCCGTTGAAATCGCGAGATGGGTTTTTATCGCGTTTTAGGTCATTCCGGGCCGTTTTGCGATAAATCCGTTTTCCCACTTTTTACGGGATCGTCTCCTGATCTGACGTCGTTTTTAATAAATTACTCGAGTTAATCGCAAGGTTTTACGATTTACTCGACTTTTTATTAAAAACACGTTTTTACGACTTACTCGGCGTTTTTTATTAAAAAGGCGTTTTTATGATTTCAACGAGAAATCTCGAATAAATCGTATAGTTTAGGCAATGTTCGGTGTTTCGTTTTAACCGTTGCTGTTTTATACGATTTCCTCGAGTTCTTTCCGAGAAAGCGAAGTTTTACGGTTTTTATCGTAAAACTCGAACGGTAGGTCGGATCGAGATGGAACGGGAGATGTTTCGGCTGTGGTTTAGAACGTGACCTTGTCAAAAGATGTAAGTTTCGAATCGGGAATTCGGGAGATCGAGACGCGGAATATCCGGGAAGTCTCTAGTTCACCCATCGGCGAACTAAGCCGGGCCGGTTTAGTTCGCCGATGGGCAAACTAGTCGAGCATCTCCTAGTTCGCCCATCGGCGAACTAAGCTGGGCCGGCTTAGTTCGCCGATGGGCGAACTAGTTGAGTACCTCCTAGTTCGCCCATCGCCGATGCTCTCTAGTTCGCCCATCGGCGAACTAAGCTGGCCCGACCTAGTTCGCCGATGGGCGAACTAGACGAGTATCTCTTAGTTCGCCCATCGGCGAACTAAGCCGGGCCGGCTTAGTTCGCCGATGGGCGAACTAGTTGAATGTCTCCTAGTTCGCCCATCGGCGAACTAAGCTGGCTTGGCTTAGTTCGCCCATGGGCGAACTAGTCGTGACTAGCTCGCGCTTTACAGCTGTTTCGGTTTTTTGCGGTTTCGTAAAACGATTCTCGAGTTTTATAAAACGATCTTCGGATTTCATAAAACGATCTTCGAGTTTTATAAAACGATCTTCGAGTTTTATAAAACGGCTTTTCGAGTTTTATAAAACGATCCTTGAGTTTTATAAAATGATCTTCGGGTTTTATAAAACGGCCTTTTGAGTTTTATAAAACGATTATCGAGCTTTATAAAACGATCTTCGGGTTTTATAAAACGGCTTCTCGAGTTTCATAAAATGATCCTTGAGTTTTATAAAACGATCCTTGAGTTTTATAAAACGATCTTCGGGTTTTATAAAACGGCCTTTCGAGTTTTATAAAACGGTCTGCGAGTTTTATAAATGACTTTGAGTTTTATAAAACTACTCCTCGGGTTTTATAAAACTGTTCCTTTTGTATTTTTGCGGGGAGTTTTGGTTATTAATTCCGTCGTACCGATTTTGACCCCAACACTCACCCTTTAACAACTCTCCCACATGACAAGCTGTCACCAATTGATCTGCAGTTCAATTGGTAACAGCTTTTCATGTGGGAGAGTTGTTAGAGGATGATGTCATGGGTTCGAGGCGCACCAACAACCTAATTATGGAGTTAGTGAGAACTCATAAGGGAGGAGTTGGGGTTGATGCGCTGCAACGTTGTGAGCTTCCACGGGATGGGTTGTCACAAAAAAAAGTGACTTTTTTGTAACAACCTGCCCCATGGGAAATACCTGCGCCATGGCCGCCAGGCTGGCCCTGCAGAGCACCGACCCTAACCCCTCCATTATGAGTTCTCACTAAAACCATAATTAGGTTGTTGGTAAGACTCAAACCCGGGTCCTCGCCCTTTAACATCACTCCCACAGGACAAGCTGTCACCAATTGACCTACAGATCAATTGGTGACATCTTGTCCAGTGGGAGTGTTGTTAAAGGGTGAGGACCTGGGTTCGAGTCTCACCAACAACCTAATTATGGAGTTAGTGAGAACTCATAATGGAGGGGTTGGGGTCGGTGCCCTACAGGGCCAGCCTGGCGGCCATGGGGTGGGTTGTTCCCACCGAGCAGGTTGTTACACGATGATTCTTTTTCATGTCTTTTGTAGCGGTCTTCGCATATCGAGCTGTGTCATTGGTAAGGTTTCTTTGCTCAACCTTTGGATTTTTTGGTGATTGTTCAGTGTGAAGTTTCGATGCTTTCAAGTTGTGTTGTCCCTTGGCTTTTACGATGGGTTTCTCCGGAATTTTCGGTAAGGGACTGAGGAGCTGTAGCTCAATCGCATTCGGATTTGAGTAGTTGTTTGTCAACCATCTTCTTCTTCGGCTACTCGGGTGGAGAACCGTTTTCTCATCGTTTCATTAGCTAAAGTTTGTTCCCGAGTGACAAATGCTTATGGTTCCTGGTCAGAACTTATTATGGAGCCTTTCTCGCATCTCAATAAATCGCCCATCTATGCTTCAAACCTATGATGTTAGTTAGTTTGTGTGATCGAGAAGGTCTTAATAATCTTTACTCCCTTTGTTTTAGTTTAAATTTTGTTATTATTATATTTTTACCTCGGGTTTAGATAGAGATGGCAATTATGGATCTGGACCGCGGGCCTAGCCGGTAAAGAACTGTCACCGGTTGTGGGCCTCGCGGGATGAGTATTTGCGGGACTGGGTCTATTGCAGGATGGACCAAAACGGGTCCCACGGGATTACAAGGATCCGCATATTTTTTCTTTATTTATTTTATTTTACCTAAAAACGAGAGAATGAGTGAGAAGAAGATGATTCATGTGACTTCCCCCGAGAATACGTAATGAGCTCGGGTGATGATGATGATTCGAGCTTCGGTGATAATGATTTGAGCTCCGGTGATGACGACTACATCTCCAGCGATGATGATTCGAGCTATAGTAGTGTTTTGATTTGGTTTCTTTTTTTTTATTAAATTAGGATTGACATTTTTGATTTGGTGTTTCATTTTATTTAATTTTTGGATCAAACAAACTAAAACATTGGTTATCTTATGAGTTATAAGATAATGAAAAATATCTTCTGCATTTAATTTTACTTTGTATGTTAATATGTTTTGGGTGTAATACAAATAATTAAAATTATTGTTTGAATATAAACAAAGCAATGATTGATGAATTATGTACAGTTAAATCGATGACGTGAACTATGTCCTACAATGGCTTGAAGCGTTTTGGAGTGCCCTAAATCGTTCTGCTGGGCATATTATCACACGTTCGGCGGGACGGCCCGTAAAAGCCTACAAAAAATGTGGTATAGGATTGGGTAGTTGTATTTAAGACCACATTCCGCGCGGGATAGGTACGTCGCGTCCTGCTAGAAAATGAACCCGCAGTGGTTCGGGATGGGACGGGACGAGAGAGCCCAATTGCCATCTCTAGTTCTAGATGATATTGTTTGCCACGTCGGTTTATGGCTCTGGAAGATATTATATTTTTCCGATTGTGTGTAATCGTCATGGTTGAATGAAATATAATCTACTACTTGACAAAAGAAAGTTGTTTATAGCCTACGGATCAGCCCTAGCTCTCTAGACCAAAATGGTACGGGCATGAACTGAACCGCACGGTTCGAAAACAAGTGTTAAGCCGCTATGGATAGGCTAGTTGACGCGGGCCGGGCCACATAAAAGGCTTGAAGACCAAAACATTTTACACGATCCATCTCCTCGTGAGTCGTGCGATAGGCACACGTTAGTAAGGGGAAGTTACGTGGCAAATTTACAATCAGTTTTATATACCACTTTTACCCTTCACCGCAACCTGTCCACCACATAAACTATCGAAACTCTTTTGCAGGCGGCGGTTGTAAAAGGTTACAGAACCTCCGTTCAACATTATCTGTACAAAAAAAACAATACTGTTCGATTCAGAGATCGCCGTCGTTTAACAATGGCCGAAAAACTGATGCACGCACTTCAATACGAATCTTACGGCGGTGGTGTCTCTGCTTTGAAGGTAAAAACCTCTTGTTCGGAATCATCTCAGTTTCATAAGTGTTTTTACCTTTACCCAGATGCATGTATAATTAGTGTGTGTGATTATCGGGAATTCGTTGCCATAAGACTAAAAGACTGATTTTCTGAGAAACCTTTTATCTCTGTGTTTATATCAACCCAATTTTGCCACCAGTTATCTTTCTCATTTGTATGGTATTGAGAATGATAAGTGCGTATCCTAGATGGTTATCTCTCTTCATCTGCTGTGCTACTAATTGAGATAGAACAACGAAACAATGGTAGTGTAGTGGTAGTGGCTGCCCCCAGAGATCAAATATGTAATTGTTGAACAATATCGTGGGTCATATTTTTTAATCAGGCTTTTATTTGGATTACATGTGATCGTTTATGTGAAATTAGTCTTTTTGTGATACATTTTTTAATGTTGTTTGTGGGAACATTAGCTTTTTTTTTTTGTGATGCATTTTCATGTTCCCTTGATTTTTTTTTATGATTAGTATCATAGTATATGTTTATCTGATATGTTCTCAGCATGTTCAAGTTCCGGTTCCATCGCCAAAGGGAAACGAGATTTTACTGAAATTAGAAGCTACTAGTCTAAACCCTGTTGATTGGAAAATTCAAAAAGGAATGATTCGGCCTTTTCTGCCTCGCAAGTTCCCCTGCATTCCTGGTATTTTATTTGCTTTCAAGAATTATCTGCTTCGCGTTTCTTGCCCTGTCCTTCATGCGATTCCATATTCAAGATTATGTTGCTTAGATGGCTTTCTAAAAGGTTGCAGAACCTTGGATAATTTTTCTTGAACAGCTACTGATGTTGCTGGTGAGGTCGTGGAGGTGGGATTAGGGGTCAAGAATTTCAAGACTGGTGACAAAGTTGTATCAGTTCTCAGCCATCTTGTACGTTCTTACATACTAGACATTGCAGTTAGAGTTGTAGCAGATACTCTTTAATACAGCATGAATAAGTTAACTATTTTTCTGTATTCAGACCGGGGGCGGACTTGCTGAATACGCTGTTGCAAGCGAGAAACTGACAGTCAAAAGGCCTCAAGAAGTAGGACCAGCTGAAGCAGCCGCTTTACCTGTGGCGGGCCTAACCGCTCTCCAGGCTCTAACTAATCCGGCAGGATTGAAGCTGGATGGTACAGGCAAGCGAGCGAACATCCTGGTCACAGCAGCATCTGGTGGTGTCGGCCACTATGCAGTCCAGCTAGCAAAGTTAGGGAACGCTCATGTAACCGCCACATGTGGCGCTCGGAATATAGACTTCGTCAAATCATTAGGAGCGGACGAGGTTCTTGACTACAAGACTCCAGAGGGAGCTGCTCTCAAGAGTCCGTCTGGTAAGAAGTATGACTCTGTGATTCACTGCGCAAATGGGATACCATTTTCGACATTCGAGCCAAATTTGTCTGAAAATGGAAAGGTAATAGACATCACTCCGGGGCCTAGCGCGATGTGGACTTTCGCGGTTAAGAAAATAACCATGTCTAAGAAGCAATTGGTTCCACTTTTGTTGATCCCGAAAGCTGAGAATTTGGAGTTTATGGTCAGCTTAGTGAAAGAAGGGAAAGTCAAGACTGTGATTGACTCGAAGCACCCTCTGAGCAAAGCAGAGGATGCTTGGGCAAAAAGTATTGACGGTCATGCTACTGGGAAGATCATTGTCGAGCCATGAGTAGCATTCTGCTTGTGCCGTTGTGTATGTTTCTATAAGCTTACACTTTGATTCTCGTTTTCTCATTGCTTTCTTTCTTTTGTTTAATATTATACTCAACTATGTCACTGGTAACAAAAACATAAACATGAATATAGATTTGAGTTCATGTTCAGCGACGTTTAGATTGGTTTCATCCAATACAGAAGAAACTTATATAAAACTAGAGCTGGGATTTTTATCCGGGGTTTAGATTTGGATTCGATTTGAGATCTGTTCTGGTTCCGTTTAGAAATTAGGAGATGTTTTGGATTTTTTTTTTATAATACTGGTAAGAGTTCAAAGCGAGTTGATGCCATAACATACAGAAGAAAAGGACAAGAAAAAAAGGAGATGTCAGTAGACACCGAAAACGAATTAAAAAGAAACTCACCCCAACCTTCTAGACTTGAGCCTCCAAAGCAAGTAGATGATGTAGCCAAACCGGACCTTGTCGAGCGATATACGATTGGTGACGCAAATCACGAGTGACACTAACAACAATTGACGTTGTAGACTCATTGCGCTCGGACCGAACATGTTCTAAGCTCCAAGAGCCTATCCCTGTGAGTAGAAAGAGGATGCTGTGGCGTATATGGCTGAAAATATGGTGGTTGTCCGGATTTGTGACAACTTCATGAAGTCTTTCAGACGCGGTTTCAAAAATTATATTAGAGAATCGGAGATTAAGCATATATTTCACCGCCCAAAAAGAAGCCCATAACTCTGCTTCAACTGCTGTACGCATGCATGAATAGGATCGACGACTATGCATGATTGTAGACCCATGTTCATCACGTAGAATCCATGAAGCACCAGTAGGCTGGCTCGAATTTAACCATGAAGATCCCACATTACATTTAATAAATCCATGTGGTGGTTTTAGCCATCGTTTCTGGTCCGTTTCATCAACAACACCATTATCGTCAGTCTTACATGAAAAAGTACCAAACCATGTGGCTTCTTCTTCATACGCACGTTTTGCAATAAAGGAAGGTGCTAGAACCTTATTTTCAAAAATAAAGCATTCCTAGCTTTCCAAATTTCCCATAATAACCATGGGAATACATTCCTTGTATGTATATCCGTAGTAGAGCTGGTACCCATCTTGATCAAATGTACAAAATTTAAAAAAGTTGAGTTCCGAGAGAAACCGCCTAAGGGAGTTGGGAATTCGCTTGCTCCCAAGTATTACGGGCTTTATCACATGTAAAAAGGACATGACAAATACTCTCAGCACCATTACCACAAACTGGGCACGTGGAGTCGACCGGAATTCCCCTAGTATTCAAATGTTGTTTGACAGTTAAAGCACCGGAAAGAACACACCACATAAAATATTTTATTTTTGGCGGGGCTTTAGTTTCCACAAGTTCCTCCATAATTGTTTTTCAATTGGTGTCAGAGAGTGTCCTTGTGGGTGATCAAAATCCACTAAAACTTCCAGCAACTTATACCCACTACGCGTTGAATATGAACCATGTGGTGTGAAACCCCATTTGATTGAGTCATCCAATATAAGTGAAGGTTTTAAAAGCAGTATCCTTTCCACATCTTGTGGCGTAAAGGTTTGGTGGAGCAAATTAATATCCCATTGACCCGATCCCTCAATAATCAAATCTGAAACTTTTAATGCTAAATTTATTGAACTACCCTCGCGATACATTGGTGGTCTCGGGATTGTATCAATAATCCAATTCTCAGTCTATACATTAGTATCAGCTCCATTGCCAATATGCCGGTATAATCCCTTTGTAAGTAAATCTCTACCATGCATGATACTCCGCCATGCATATGATGGCCGTGTCCCCATTCCACATTCCAGGAAATTTCCATTTTTAAAATATTTACCTTTTAGAATCCTAGCAACCAAAGAATCCGGGTTATTCCAAATTCGCCACGCTTGTTTCCCTAGTAAAGCCTGATTAAAACGACCAATGTCATGAAACCCAAGACCCCCTTGTTCTTTTGGTTTACATAACCTTTCCCACGAAACCCATGGTATTTTTCTTTTTTTATCCCACTACTACACCAAAACTCTATTATCGCGCTCGTAATCCGTTCACAAAGGCCTTTCGGTAATCGAAACACAGACATAGCATATATTGGGAGAGCTAAAGCCACCGACTTGATCAGAAATTCCTTGGCACCCATTGATAGAGTCTTCGAATACCACCATTGTAACCGACCCTCCAATTTTTCTTTTATAAAATTTAGAAGGTCTTTTTTCGAACCTTGAAAGCATTCTGGGAGACCAAGATAAGTACCTTCTCCACCTTCCTTTTCAATACCAAGGACCTGTTTTATGGCTTGCTTAGTATGTGCTGGAATCGATTTCCCAAAGATAATAGATGATTTCACGGGGTTAATCATCTGTCCAGACGCATCTCCATAAACTTTCAGACCTCGCATAATCGCTTCACTATCCCTAACTGAAACTTCACATAACAACAAGCTATCGTCAGCAAATAGTAAATGATGCACCGAGAGGCTGTCTTTAGCCAACTTTATACCGTGTAACTCCCCTTTTGCTTCAGTTCTATTTAACACGTGAACTAAAGCTTCCGCACATAAAATGAACAAAAAAGGAGATAAAGGATCGCCCTGCCGAATCCCCCTTTCTGGTCTAATGAACCCATGAGAACGTCCATTAAGTAATACCGAGAATGTTACGGTAGTGATACATGACATTAACCAAACAATCCATTGCCGATGAAATCCTATTTTTTCCAATAACACCTCAAGGAAATTCCATTCTACTCTATCATAAGCTTTTGACATATCAGTTTTAATAGCCATACTCTATGTACCAATTTTATCATTCGTGCGCAATCCATGAACCATTTCATGAGCGATGATAACATTATCCGTAATTAACCTGCCTCCAACAAAAGCCCCTTGAGTCTCAGAGATAATATTAGGCAAAACCCCCTTCAGACGATCACACAGGATGCGAGAGATGATCTTATACTGAACACTACAAAAACTAATGGAACGCATATCCTTCATCTCCGTAGGATTTAAAACCTTTGGTAACAAAAATAGCTGTGTACGGTTCCACCCTGCAGGGAGGATGGCTGTTTTAAAAAAACCTTTAACGTCCTCAGCAATTTTGTGCCCTACAATATGCCAATATTTCTGATAGAAAAAGCCTGTTAACCCGTCTTCCCCAGGAGCACTACTATTTTTAATACCAAAAGCCGCATTTTTGATTTCTTCAAGAGACACCTCTCTAGTTAACATAATATTCATCTCAGGAGTAATTTTGCTTTCAAAACCCTCAAAAAGCGTTTCCAAATCAGTTGGATTTGAGCTTGTAAACAAATCTCGAAAGTATTCGTAAGTAATATGACCTTTCGAGCCTTCTGAAAAAATTCATTACCGAAAATATCCTTAAGCATTAATATTTTTTTCCGCATCCTTTTCCCTTTAACCATATTATGGAAGTAAGTAGTATTTCGATCACCTTCCCTTAACCATTCCTCTCTATTCCTTTGCCTCCAAAAAATCTCTTCTTCCCTATACGCCGCAGCCAGATCATGTTGTAATCTCCTTAACAAATGGAGAATTGCTTGGAACTCTCTTTATCTAGTTCCCTCTGCAACCGTTCTATTCTTGTTTTAGAATTCCATTCACTATTCCGCTTTAGCTTAGACAATTCCGACCTACACCGGGCTATCCGATCTAGAATACTTAAATTTGAGTTAATATTTTCTACATCTCATCCACGAATAATAGCTTCATTAACCCCTCTCTTACCATACATATGTTTGTCAAAGTAAAACCTGCCTTTTTGTAGATTTTCCGGCTCTAAAGAGAAATCTATACGTAACGGTCGATGATCCGACGGACACATACTCATATATTCCGTAGATGATTGGGAAAATAAACGGAACTAATTATCATTCCCAAAACTCATTTCGAGTCGGCACTGTACCCAGTTATGGTCCCGCATACCTGCCCAGGAAAGTGTATTACCCGTTGTCCGCATCTCCCTAGTCTTACATGCCTCGGCCATGTTTCGAAAATCAATAAACGTGGATTCATCTCGAGTAGCCCCTCCTAATTTTTTCCCATTATGCATTAACTCATTAAAGTCGCCGACCAACACCCACGGCTCATCTCTAATCACACCAATATCCGTCAGTTTATCCCATACATAACGCCTCCGTCCTCTTACTGGATCCCCATATACACATGTAAGGAAAAACACAATGGAACCCATTGACACTTTTAGATCAATAATTCTATTATCGCTAGCCATAATATCCACCGTATAACAACCTTTCCACATTACAGCCAGACCACCGCTACGACCAATGGGTTCTATCGTATGTATACGATCGTAGCCTAAACTTGATTTTAAGGCATCCATATAAGCAAATTTTTGCTTAGTCTCCATAAGAAAAATAAAATTCGGAAAATATTGACGTCGCAAATCCCGAATACGTTGGACTGTATCTGAACCACCAGCACCTCTACAATTCCAGCTTAGAATACTCATTAATAAAAATTATATTGGTGAAGAAACTGATTACTGACTCCCTTAAAATCCTGAAAATTACCTTGACATATAAGACAAGATATTCCCTGTATAAACCAAAACCTTATTCTCTGATGCCCATACAAATCATTCTGTTTGAAAACATCCGAGATGACAAGACAATATATTGATATTAGCATACTGTTCGGGGGGAAAATCCATCCTCTTTCCGAATATTGTAAACCCAAGACCATATCAGATGTTAAAGACCTCAGATACACAAAAACCAGTCTCCATTTTTTCATGTTACAATTCGATGTAAACTCATACATCCATGCAAAACATGTCGCAACATATAAAATTGGTTGAGGCAAATTATAAACATTTACTCCAATTATGCCACACTGTCATCGAGGAGATTTTTCTATTACTCAAAAGGTCCCACCAATCCCATTCACTAAATAACCTCCAAGAAAAAACCAAATTGCTAATTAAATCAATCACATAAAAACACATAGGAAGCCACAACCGATGTGGAGATCTCGAGTTTTGATAAAAATGATATGCCATACGCATTGATCGTAACCAGAACCAGAGGACCTTCGGACCAGAATTCATAATAACCACCATATGTATCGCCTTTAGAATGTCATAGTTAGACATTAAACGAGAAGAACAATGAGTTAAATCCTTGTTAAGGCCACACTGACCATTCCCATATGTCGCCACAGACAACAG